GGGCGGGCCAGGCCCGCCGTGCCCTTGAAGCCGCAGGCGGTGCCGAGGACGCCAAAGAACGCGTAGCCGACCTTGACGGCCCTTGTGGGGCGGGCTGGGCCCGCCGTGCCGGCGGAGTCGACGATGTGCTTGACGACGCTCCTGGTGCCCTTGCCGATGGTACGCAAGACCGTACCGACGGTGCCGAGAGCGATGCCGAAGGCGGAGCCGAGGCCGTACCCGAAGTTCAGCAAGATAATGCCGATGAAGTTGAGAGCGGTGCCTGCGGTGCCGCGGGAGCGCTCTCGGGGGGAGGTTGGGGGCCGACTGCTTGTCACGCACGGCGCGACGACGGCAGGCGTGGGACCAGCCCGACCGCACTCAGCACCGTCACCCTCAGCAGTCGGGAGCCCGACCCCCCCCTGGATACCTGGCCGTACCGAGGTGAGCAGGTGCTGGACGGAGTCGTCTGTGTTGGCGTCGGTGCCTGGTAGGTGAGCGCGGAGGTCGGCTCGGTAGGCGCGCAGCTCGGCGCGCAGGTGGAACACGTCGTGCCCGAGTATACGTAGATCTTCGTGAAGATCCGCACGCGGCACGTGTGGGGCGTGTCCAGGTGGTACTGGGAGGTCGCGCCCGTGCAGGACGGGCACGCGGAAGACAAGGTCCTGGTGCCTATGTTCAGTAACATGGCCAGGCAGCTCAGGTAGTACAGCATGGTGAGACGTGAAAGTGCGGTGGCGGCCTGGCGCAGACAGGGGGGCCATGGCGGCGGTCGCACTGAGGAAGTGAGGAGACGCAAATCAGTACCGCGCTGCTGGCGCGGTTCCGGTCTCGCGAGGCCTGGAGTCGGGACTCCAGAGCGGGGCGCTTCGCGTCGCGGCTACGCTATGAGTGCAGGGCACTCTCGAGCCGAGACTAGAGAGAGAGAGAGAGAGAGAGAGAGAGAGAGAGAGAGAGAGAGAGAGAGAGAGAGAGAGAGAGAGAGAGAGAGAGAGAGAGAGAGAGAGAGAGAGAGAGAGAGAGAGAGAGAGAGAGAGAGAGAGAGAGAGAGAGAGAGAGAGAGAGAGAGAGAGAGAGAGAGAGAGAGAGAGAGAGAGAGAGAGAGAGAGAGAGAGAGGGAGGGAACTAGAGAGAGAGAGAGAGAGAGAGAGAGAGAGAGAGAGAGGAAAGAGAGAGAGAGAGAGAGAGAGAAAAAGAGAGAGAGAGAGAAATAAAGGAAAAAGGAGAGAGAGAGAGAGAGAGAGAGAGAGAGAGAGAGACAGAGAAAGAGAGAGAGAGAGAGAACGCAAAGAGAGAAAGAGAGAGGGAGAGAGAGAGAGAGAGAGAGAGAGAGAGAGAGAGAGAGAGAGAGAGAGAGAGAGAGAAAGAGATAGAGAGAGAGAGAGAGAGAGATAGAGAGAGAGAGAAGAGATGAGAGAGGAGTGAGGAAAGAGAGAGAGAGAGAGAGAGAGAGGGAGAGAAGCAATCGAGAAAGAGAAAGAGAAAGAGAAAGAGAAAGAGAAAGAGAAAGAGAGAGAGAGAAAAACAAAAAAGAGAAAGAGAGAGAAACAATGAAAACAAGGCGATCGACGTCGAGGGCCCGGGCAAGACGCGCGCGTGGCAGCTGGGAAGGGAAGCGGGGCTTGTCTGGGGTCGCGAGTGGAGACGCTTGGCGTGACGGAATGACTGTGCAGAAGTGTGGGCGTTTCGAGGAAACACCCCGCCAGGCCAGGGCTAGGGCAGGCGGGCGCAGAGGGAGGATAGCAGAGTGAAGCGCGGGGCGTAAGCGGAAAGAGATGAGGGGCAGGTCTCGGGGCTAGTCGAGGAGAGGGCGCAGGCGATGGTGGCCGAATTTCGCCCCCCAGAGGAGGATTTGAAAGTGGGCCCGAGCTGCGGATGCGCAGGGCGAGGGCCCGAGCTGCGGGGGCAGGGCCCCGAATGGGTGTTGCGTGAGGGCCAGGGCGAGAACGTTTACGAGCCATCAATTTCTTCGCGCCGCTGGCTGGCCCCCGCAGCGCAGACTGCGTGCGGCGCCCTAACAAAAACCAGGGCCTGATTTGGTTGGAGGCCCGCCCAGGTGTGACGGACCAGGTGGCGAGTAACCAAGGAGGCGGTTCTGGTGGTTCTGGAGGAGGATCGGGGCTTCCCGGTGGTGGTGGGCCGCCGAGAGGTGATGGGCCGCCAGGTCGTGGCGGTCCGCCAGGAGACGGCGGTCCTGCCGATGATGGCGTTGCCCGGCCTGTCCCTCTCAGCGGAGGAGCGGGGGGGGCGAAAGTCAACCTCCCAGGAATGCCTGGCGCTGCCATTTTCTCCGACTGGTCAAGAGCTGCCTGCCGAACAGTAGCCGCCGTTGCCTGGGGGGGCTGATGATGCGGTAAAGTGGTTCCAGCGAGAGTTCGACATTCCATCGTGTGAGGCGAATCGTGAGGGTCGTCGATCAATGCGCATCGGTTGCATCCGACCGCAAGTCTGCTCACTTGTTCAACGGCCGGCTCATGTGTGACATTTGGGGAAAGGGGGCAAAGGTTGGTGAAATTTTCCCGGTTTTATAACATTTTGAAGCTGATGCTGAGCCAGATGGCGGAACCCCACGAGGGCGCGTGGCCTGCTCTGAGTGCCCGCTACTCCGAGGGGCGCTTCCCGCATGTGTGCTGACTTTGTGGGCTTGTTCGATGCCGGAAATATCGATCGGGGGTTTCGTGGTTGCGTCCTGTGCAGGGCGCAGGGGCTGCATGATTGAATGCGCGCCAGCGAATGCGCCATGATCTGGTTGCCTCTCCCATGCTGAGAGGATTCAGGGGTGGGGCGGTCCGCCCCGCTGGAAGTGTAATCAGGGTGTCCTCCACGTCGGATTGGGATCTCGACGACGCCCGCCCATCCGCGGATGCGCGGGGAAGCATTTGCCGAGCGATCGAGAGGCATGGGGTGCGGTTCACCTTGACTTTTGTCTTGTTGAGCGTTGGGGGTTGGCATGTTGGGGCAGCCCCCCCCCCCCGCCGGGGTCAGGCATGGGCCGCCCTGGTGTCCGAGATGCAGGCCCGGATGCCGGGCGGAACTGGAGGCAGAGAAGGGATCGCGCAGGCGGTGTGACTGATGCTGCCCCACCAGTGGGCAGTCGTCTCGACCGAAGGGGCGGGGGCGCGGTGGGGGGGGAGGTCAGGGGCAAAGGGGGTTGGATCACTTCTTGGTCCCATGATCGCCTGCAGAGCGATAACAGCAATAATCGCGTGAAAGCAAACGAGACATGGTGGAGAGAAGCCGCCGAAATGGGCAGTGCCAGTGGTGGCGAATGGGGTTCGAGTATTCGGGGCAGCGCTGCGAAGCTGGCAGCGCCAGTGGTGGCGACTGGAGCTCGGGGAGCGGATGGCGCGAAAACGAATGGAAGGATGTGTCCAGGATGTCTTCGTTGACGTGCGGCTCTGAGAAGAATTTGGGCAAGAAGGGCAATGGCGGCGGCTGAACGGAAAGGTGCTCGAGGTCGTCGCGAGTCGCGAAGCTTCCTGAGCGGCTGAGCGATCGGCGCTGGGTGCCGGGCGAAAGAAATCGGGGAGTCCGTCGAGCGACCGGGCCTTCGCTTCTGCTGCGGGAGTAGGCGCTGCGCGGATTGTGAGCGCTGTAATGGAGCTTTTTGTGGCTGGCGCTCCCGGGCGTGGTGCGCTGAAAACGGGCGCGCGGAGGTGCGATTGTGCCCGTGCTCGACGCGGGGGGGTCGATTCCCCCCTCCGCCCAGCGTTCTCTCGCCTGTCCCAGCGCGTGCCGCCGCGCGCGTTTGGCTCCAGCCATATTTCGCCCCCAAAAGAGAGGTGGCGCAAGACATCTGTGGAATGTTTTTTTGCGCATCATCGGAAGGAATGGGGCGGCGCGCGCGCCGCCATGTCGTCTGTCAACGTAATGGGGGAGCTCGCCCAGGAGATCCTCGTAAAGGGATTGCCTGACCTAGGATCAGATGGAAAGTATTCCTCGCATGCTGCAGGCAATCTGGATCATCTGAGCAAGAACATTTTGCCGAGAAAGCACCGTTTCTAAAAACAACCGACGGTGTGTAACGATTTTGGACTTTCGGGGGCGTCCCTGGGAGGCGGCTCCATGACCGTTTGGAGCAGTCTTGCGGACTCTTGCAGGCATGCTGGACGCCACCCTGCACCATCTTGAGTTATCTTGTGCCACCATGGAGGCCCATCTTAGGCCACCTTGGAAATTCCAATCCTTTGCAGCATTCCCGTCCAAACCCACGGCAGGGTCTTCCGATGCCACGGCGAGTGGGCTCCTCCAGCCAACGGGCGATCACAACGTAAGCGTGGGGTGGACTCCAAGACGGCCCAGGATACCGCCAAGCCGCTCCAAACGGCCAGACACAACAAGACCCGACAAAAGGAAACAACACCTCATGACACATACGAAAAAAAGCGCTCCAACAACCCGAGGAGCGTATTGAATTCTTTTCACCGCGAAGGTTTCTCGAGGCTTCAGGACGGCTCCGGAAAAGGGGTCCCAGACGGCCCCATATGCTTCCAAGAGGACCTTACACGCCCCCCAAAGGCCCCGAACAACTTCGAACATTTCCCCACAATGCTGCAAGGACCCCCCAGGCCAAAGAGGTCCCCGAGAGACCCCTTAAGCGGCTCTCGAGCGGCCCCCAAGATGCTGTCTAGGCGGGGGACATGTTTTCGGAGGGTGGGGCAAACCCCTCCCCGAAGGAAAAGAAGGGGTTTTGAAGAGGAATCGCCCAAACCACCCACGCCCTGAAGGGGTAGGGGGATTTTGGCGGATTGCGGGAATATGGCGTTTTTGCAAGTCTGATTCACCAGCGGGCGCCATGGACTCGGAAAGAATTTCACCAACCAGGACGCGATAGAAGTCTTCCGTTGGGCAGCTTGTCTTTCTTTCCCCTTCCTTCCTCCTGTTCCTCCCCCCCCTCCTCCTCTTTCGACAGTTGCGCTGCGCCCAGTCACTCCCAGGTCTTCTTCAGATGCCTGCCGTATCCGGCCCCTATTCATCCGAGACTACGGCGGTGGCCAACGGGGCCGCGACAGGGCCCCCAGCCGAGGCAAGACTACAGCTTCACAGTGCTCCCGGTCTCCATCGGCGGGGACAGCCTGTGCAGCCCGTTCTTCGTGGAGATAGCGGCCCCTGTGGCGCCAACGCAGCTTCGAAAGGCGCTTCCCGACGCGCCACCGCAGCTGCCAGAGGCGCCCGCCACGGCGCTGGCGAGACCACCACCACGGCTATCCTCCGAGGCCGCGTTCTTGTGGAATTGGGTGTGCCAACAGAGGCAGCATTTGCCGGAGGCGGTCTCCAGCGCACGGGCGTGGTCGCCAGAAGCTACCCATGCGGCACCGGCAGGGCCGCCAGAGCCATCCTCCGAGGCACTCGGTCTGTGGCGCTGGCTGGACCAGCGAGGCCCGTGGGCGAAATACATCCGTATTCGCGGCCTCGCAGGCCGGGCCGCTGGGCCGCGACCCCGCGGATACGGGGCGCTTTTTCGCGGATGCCCCGCGCGGGGCGTATCCGTGCGACCGCGCACCCGCGGCATCGCGCCCCAGAATCCAGACCGCGAGGGCGCGGATACGAATTCGTTCGCCGCTCGTGAGAGGCCCTTCTTCGCTGGAGGTGCTCTCCGGCGAGCCTGCGCGGCCACCCAGGGCGTCTTCCGTGCGGCCGGGGGAGCTCCGCGGCGCGCCGGCGCGGCCGCCCGAAGCGCGGCAGCTCTTCGGCGAGGGGGCGGGGCCGCGGCTGGCGCCTCCCAGCGCAGAGGTCCGGGTCCGCCCACTCTCCGCTTGTCTGCTCTTGGGCTCGAGGTTCGAGCTTCGGTTCGAAACTCGAGTTTTGTCGGCCGTGTTCGTCGGTTTTCGGCGGCTTTCCAGCCCCGGGGTGTTTTCCGGCAGCTGCGCCTCGCCGAGGGGCGTCTGGGGCTGTCCGGATCTTTGTAAACGGCCGCGGGAGACCCGAGTCATGACCCGAGAGCCAGACGGCGAGGATTGCTCTGACATCGCCGCTCCTGCCCTCCACTCTTCCTTTTTGCCGTGGCCCACCCTGCAGCCTCTTCCACGCCCCCCCGCGGCCACGGCCTGCCTTCTTCTTTTTCGGCCTTCCCGCCCTTCGCTCCTCTGATGTTGCCTGTTGGGTCTTCTTTCTCCAGCCTCGCTGCCTTCCTTCCCTGTTGTCCTTGTCCTCTGGTTTCCCCTTGTTTTTTCCCACGGGGACTGTCGGTTCTCTCAGGTCAAGGCAGAGGGTTCTTTGTCAAAAGGCCTCATTCAGCGTGGGGCGGACTAGCATTCCCAACAGCTGCAAAGATGGAGGGTGGTAGTTCAAGATGTGTGTTCGGCTGGGGCTCCATCTTGCTTGATGATCAGTCACAGAGCTGTACATGTAGAACAAGTGCGCGGATGGATCGCATTAATAACATGTGATTGTCATCTAAGATTTCGTGAAGCTTTCCACTACACGAGTTGACGCTCCCAGCAGCTACACAGGTTGAGGGCTGGTTCTTTTCAAAGTCTGGCTTTCGCCTGAGGGGTCCTTGCCCTTCTTTAGGGTCCTGAAGCTCGTTTTTCCCAACCATCCTGTGGTGTTGGGTTTTCGTTTTGACGAGACAGCGCCCCGCGTTCCCCCCTCCTCTTCTTCTCTGAGCACCGCCGCACCCACTTCGGCACACCTCTCACACGTCTCGTGGCCCCATGAGCTACACTGGAGACAACTGCGTTACTCGTAGCTGCATATGGTTGGGTCCCTCGCAAGGCTCATTCACGCACCCATGGGCGCAAGGCGGCCCATTTTCAAAATCGCTCTCTTGCTCCGGCGCCATGCATGTTCTCCAAACTTCTTCCAGCTACATGGATGGAGGGGTGAATTCCTTTCAAGCTCATAAAGTGTTGTATTTGGGCGCAGCCGAATGGTAACATGCTGCTTTCAATCAAGCTTTTCAAGACAATCAGGTCCACGCCTCAACGTGCGCTCGCCGTGCTCAGAAGAAGGACGTTCGTACTGTTCTGTGAGGGGGGACCTGGGGCGAGAGGATGCGTTTCGGAGGTTGATGGACCTCCTTCCCTGACACGTCGGTTGGTGAGCTGTCCGTTTTCGGTTCGCGAGAGGGCGTCACGGCCCTTATTTTTGCGGGTCCAGGTCTGTCGGTTTCGGTCCCAGGTTGTTTTTGCTAAAGTGAGGTTTATGAAAGGGAGGTTTGTCCACCGCCGGGCGTTACATCATCGGTAGTGGCTGCTGGTGCACGGCGCTTCTTGCATGTCTCAATGCGTCAGATGTTGCTGCTTCTTCGGCGGCGCAACGCTCTTTGTGCTTCCTTGCCTCATGTCGAGTGGCTGCGTGGGTGCTTCTCCGTCGCAGGCTGATCTTTTCGTAGCCCCTCTTGGGCTTGCAGCTGCACTGATGCGAGCTTCATTGGGGATGTGTCGGCTCACGTTGGTGGCGTTCGCCAAGGAATGCCCCAATTAGGCTTCAGATCCCAGAGAATTTCTTCTCTGATAGGGGTGGCGGTGATTTCAATGGACGATCGACGATTGGAGTTCCATTGGCTTCCAGACCCTG